TCACACTAATAAACACTTGCCTTTATTATTGATAGGGCTTTATTATTTACCTAATTTGGTATACATTTTATACAAGTCAAAATCTTTCAGCTAAGTTTATAATGAGTGTTGAAATTCAGAATAGATTTGATGTTAAAAATTTTTAAGCTTATTTAAAATCAAAATTTAGCTATTGGAGTTCTATGTAATTCATTTCTAAAATTTTCTATTATACAGTTATTTAAAATTATTTTTTTTTAAGTTTGGAGGAGTCAGCAAATTTTTTCCTGAAGGGCCATATAGTAAATGCTTTAAGCTTTATGGGCCAAAAGGCAAATTTAAGGATATCATGTAGGTACTTACAAAACCATTTCAAATGTAACCATTAAAAAATATAAGAGCCATTCTTAACTTACAGTCCATTAAGAAACAAAAGCAAAGGCCGGCCAGATTTGGTCTTTAGGCTGTAGTTTTCAGATCCAAATTTAGAGGGAAAATTTTGAAGGTCAGAACTCTGTTCTTTATATAAATTTTTTATTCATCTTACTGTTTCACAGAAGTAGTGATTTAAATCCATTTTGCATTAGCAGAGGCTAATGAGCATATTAATTAGTAGAGCTAAAAATCTTGATTTTTCTGTTTTCAACATATTAAACATAAATGATCATTGTAGCTAATGACTTAAATTTCTTACCTGAATTGTAATCTGACACCTTGTTGGTATAGGTTTGTCACGTGTCCTCAACCAAATAGAGCTGTAAAGTGGTAACTGTTCCAGAAGTACATATGGAAAAGCACATGGAAAAGAAAAAACATTTTACAGCATTAGTATAGCCAGGTAGAAACCTAAATACTAAACTCTGCAGTCACTACTACAGTGATCTAAACACCAATCGTGATAATGATGGATGGCCAAAACCAACTTAAAAGGCCAGTATGTCCTTTAAATGGATAGTAGACTGTAAGGTTTTCATATAGCAGTTTAATTCCACATTAAATTTGAAGTCTGCATTGATAAATTCTGCCACCTCCGAGTTCACTGCCTAGTGTGGTGCTCCACAGTTGCTGGAGGAAGTTCTTTAGCCATTCTGTTGTCATCAATTAACAGTTAACCCAGGCACAGTGTACATGAATACGTATTATACTTATTTCTAATTTTTTAACATATCTAATAAAAAGTTGAAGTAAGCATGGAAGGAATCATAAATGCTATGAATAAAGTAGAATAAACAAAGTAGTAAATAATAGCAAAAACCAAATCTAACTTGGAATGTAAACATTGGAGCAAGATGGTAGGTGGTTCCCAAGACTATGCTTTGGGTCACACCAGGTGTCACCATTATGACCAAGCAGCAGGATAGGTGGAAAGCAGGGAATGGACTGGTGGTATAGACCTGTATTTTAGGGTACATACCTGAACTGTAATAATGTATTCAGTATATGTATCTTTGAGAGGGAATAAACTGCATTTAGAAGGTAATAGTGCGCATACATGTTTGCAACCTTAAATATCAAATTATTAGCATATATACTACCATATCCAGGTTTCACTTGTTGCTTATTATCAAGAAAATATAATTTTTAGAATTTCTCTGCACATCTTTAAGGAGATTTACAATTGATATTAGAGACTTTAAAAAGTTTTTTTTTTAAATTACACTAAACATAAAACACTGCTCTGTTTTCATAGAGCGATAAAATTGATAACTGGCAGCTTTTGCATTGTTCATTCTAACATTTTTTGTCTGAATAGGAACTAGTGGTATGTTCCTAATATCATTATAAATAAATTTACAGAGAAATAAGCACATGCAATTTATAGGAATTCACTTTTTGAAAACATTTTTTATACAGTTTGATTTTCATATGTTCAGTTGCTTATGAATATCATCTGAGATGTTCTCATGTGAAAACCTGAGAAAAAGGTTTCTAGAAAATAGCTGGGTAAATGAGTATTGGAAACGTGGGACTAGTAGTTTTAACAGTACAATTAGGATTTTGCATTTCTGAATTAGAATTTTCTTATGAAGAACTGTAGATATATAGCTAAAAACTTTGACTTTACCTTCAATATATAATAGAATTTGGGCCTGTAATTACCATATATTTCCACAAGGTGGAACTCTCAATGTTAGGTATTTTTTTCCATTTCAGTTGTCCCAAAATTACTTAGGTGACATAATTTCAAAGTCCCTTTAAATATTTTTAGATACACTTTTTACAAAGTCATATGATGTAGTAGTACCCCTATTACATTAACTTAAAACTTGATTCTAGAAGAGATAATTTCCTCTCATAAAATTACCAATAAAGTTTTTTTTTTTTTTGAGACAGAGTCTTACTCTGTTGCCCTGGCTAGAGTGAGTGCCGTGGCATTAGCCTAGCTCACAGCAACCTCAAACTGGGCTCAAGCTATCCTACTGCCTCAGTCTCCCGAGTAGCTGGGACTACAGGCATGTGCCACCATGCCCGGCTAATTTTTTCTATACATATTTTTAGTTGTCCAGCTAATTTCTTTCTATTTTTTTTTTTAGTAGAGACGGGGGTCTCACTCTTGCTCAGGCTGGTCTTGAACTCCTGAGCTCAAACAGTCCGCCTGCCTTGGCCTTCCAGAGTGCTAGGATTACAGGCGTGAGCCACCGCTCCCGGCTACCAATAAAGTTTTTAAAAATTTTTTAAACTCCCTAAAAACAGAATTTCATGATTTAAATATTATTACTTTAGTTTTTGTAAAAATAGGAGCATAAAACTTCATTATTCAATACTAGTGAAGAATTCTAATAATTCATATACTCTGTTACTGAATAAGGCAGAAAGTTCTAAGTCTTCAGGCTCTTAATTAGATAACTTTTCCAATTTATACAACATATGCAAATTTATATTCATATGTATATTACTAGTACCATGTGATTTATGAATTGCTTTTTATTTTGTTCCTCCAGCTAACTTGAGAGAGATTTGAAATGTAATGTGTAGTACAGAGTAAATATACTTGATTCAGTTTTATCTCTTAACCCTTAAAATACCTGATAAGAACATGAAATACAGAAGTACAACTTACAGTTTATCATTAATAAAAATATAATGGTAGAAGTTAGATACTATTGCCAAAAATTTTATTTAAATGAAAATGTCTGCTAGTTTTAGGATATCTTCCAACCTTTGAGTCTGAACCAATCTAAACACTCCTTTGGCTATCCTACACTTTACCTTAACTTTTAGTTTTGTTATCCGTTAGGAGCCTTTACTTGGGCAAAAAATCTAAATATACGTCCCATCTACCAGTTCATCTCTAACCATAGGCTCTGTCTGGTTCTTTTCTACGTAGTACTAATCTTTTGTACTTTGGAGGCCAGGGTGGTTTCTAGAACAGTAGTGCATTTTCTCTTTCTTGGTTTCATAGTAAGTATATTTCTATGTGTGGGAGATTGAAATCTTAGTTTTAAATAATTTGGGCTCCAAATAAAATATAAAAAGGGGGAGCTGCTAATATATAGATTAAAATAGAAAAGAAGGTTTTTGGTGGTTGGCCACTAACAATGCGTTATGAATATCATAGAAGACATGTAAAATATACATATATTGTAAATGCTTATAAAATTAACTGACATCTAATTAGAAAGGATTTAGATACCTCATTTCACAGACAAATTGAGACTCAGAGAAGTCAAGTAATTCTCAGATTACAGAGCAAGTAAGAGGTAGAGCTGGAATTTTTAACCATAGCAATAATTTCTTATAAAGAAACTATAATTCAATTAGTAGTATGTCTGCTATTATCTAGGACTGATCACAAGTCCCTTCAGACAAGTGCTGCTACAAGGGTTAAGCAGCTTCTGTGGGCACCTGAGTCCACGAGCAGTCTTAAAGTAGAAAAGGAAAGAGTGAAAAGCAATGAGTTAGTGCATGTGTTAAGAAGCCGTAAGTGGGCCAGGTATGGTGGCTCATACCTGTAATCCTAGTACTTTGGGAGGCTGAGTGGGAAGATTTCTTGACTCCAGCAGTTTATGACCAGCCCAGGCAACACTGCAAGACCGTGTCTCTACAAAAAATAGAAAAAAATGTATCTGGGTGTGGTGGCATGTGCCTGTATAGTCCTAGCTACTTGGGAGGCTGAGGCAAGAGGATTGCTTGAGCCCAGGAGCCCGAGGTTAGAGTGAGCTATGATGATGGCACTGTACTCTAGCCCGGGCAACAGAGTGAGACCTTGTCTCAAACAAACAAACAAAGTCACAGAGTACACTCAGTTGCTCCAGGTGCTGCCTGGCAACCATACCAGTAGCTAATATTGGATGCCTAAATGTGCTGAGAGCACTGTGCCAGCACTTCAGCTACTTTATCTCCTTTAGACATTTAGCAATGTTATGAGAGATGATCATCCTATGGAAAAAAATAAGTAACTTGCTGAATGTGCAGAGCTTGGATTTAAGCACAGACAGGTTCTATAAGCTCCTAAAGTCCTCCTCCAAGCCACTGTGCTTCCTGCCTCACCAGTGTACCAAGGGGGAGGGAGGGAAGTTTCATCTCCATAAGGACACTTATTCAAAAGCCAAGTAAAAATATTTCTCAGGAGCATTTATTGTTGTTTAGCTTTTTCCCCCTTTGTGCCAACATTAATTTTCTCCTTTGTGCTGGGGTAAATTTTCTCTCTTTATAATCTCTACTTCATCTAAACCTTTGTCTCTTATATGTATTTTTAATAATGTTTACACATGTGAACTTAAAAGTACTCTTAAAGAGGGCATAATGTTCACTTTGATAGAATTTTTCAACAAGTTATTGCTTATTTCTAGGTTAAATGCACTATTTAATACTAATTGATACATAAATTTAAATTAACTTGAAAAAGATGATTTGATTTTCCAAGGCACAGACCATATATACTAACAGAAAACACAAAAGTTGGAATTCTCTTTCATGTGTTTGGAATGTGATGGTTCAAAAGTAAAACCTCACTTGTTTCACAGATCCCTGTTCCAAGATCTCACTCATCCCAACCCCAAGAAAATGTAAAGCCTGGGTTAATTTCCTGCAATAAGTAATCATTTAATTAAAGAACAAAATTAACAGGAATCAAAATGTGGCATCTGTATTTTTTGTTAGACATTATATAAAAAAAAGAAAAAGTATAATACAGTAAATCATTTTGTATAACATGAACTTAAAGAGTTTTCAAATTAATTGTGATCAAGATAAAAATGTCTTTTCAACATAATACTGAATGACACTGTGTCACGTGTCCCTCAGGTCAGGGGAGGCCTGGGAGTGGTGAGCCTGCACATGCATGGCGCCCATCCTCCATCACACTGCAGAGCTGTAAAACAAGGTTGAAAGGCAAACGACAGTTTTCTTCTGGTAGAGTTACTTTGGGTCTTAACTGACCCCAACATTTCACACTCCTCAGACAACAAAGAAGGAAGTGTGTCCTCTGGTTACTCCTCTGGCAGGTAAGTGTGGCCAAGATTGCACCTGTGTGTGTGATCCTGCTCTTCTCACAAACACAGCAGGTAGTCTTGAGCTGAACTTCAGGAAAGTTCCCTGATGAATGTTCAGTGTTGGTATCAAAAATTAAACACAAATTCTTCTCAGAAGAAAATCTCTATGGCCTGTGGAATCTAGAGATTATAAAACAAAGAATTTAAGGTTATACACTTCTAACAGTTAAAATTGCCAAAAACTGTCCACAAATCAATTTGCTGCTATTAAAAGCTTTCAGAGGCCAATGTGTAAAACATGAGGGTGGAGCTGCTCTGGTTAAAGTAATATGGAGTCTTGGGGGCTCCCAACTTTCAGGTCCCCCTTGTTCCCCAAAATATATGGTGAATTCTTAGGACTACCTAGAACTTCATTTGAAAGCTGCTATTTAAACCCTTGAAGTACACAGAAAGGCCGGGGCTTTGCTAAACCAGTAGAAATAATGAATTGGTTAATAAATTATTGAAAATTAGAGTTATGGGGTTTTTTTTATAGAGTTAGTAATGTGTTCATAGTAATGTTAAATACACTCAAGAAAATCTTATATAACTAAAAATGTTGTTCTGGCTTTTAAATTGATATGAAGTGCTAAAATATGGTGTAAATATAATTATTTTCTTATGTTCAAGTATTGGGCTCATTCTTTAAAATTTTGTCATCTAAGAAAGCTATCAAGAACTTCTGAGAGAAATAAACATCTTTAGTAAACATTTTTTAATAACATATAATAGGGAAATGTATTAAATTGAGATTACCATACATAGAATATGTAATCATTATATCCTATTTAAAACAGAATGAGCATTAAAAGTAATTGTGTATATCTTACTGGAGATATTTCCTCAACATTCATTAAGACCCATTCAAAATAAATAAAAAATAAAATGATCTATTTCTCCCCAAAAGTAGGTTAGTCATGGGAAGAAACATCTAAAAGTTTAAAAATTATTTGCATTATTTTCTCCTGTCCTTCCACCCTCCCCTTCCTCCTTGATATATTCACCCTGAAACCACTGGGTAAGATGGAATTCCACTGTACCTGTTTTCTGTTCCATAGCTACACTGAGCTTACAGAGAAAATCTTTTAAATAGTAATTGCAGTGGCCACTTTGTGACAAATAGAAAAGGAGAGAAATCCATTAGGTAACTACATGGAGGATTTCCCTTCGCTCTGTATTCGGGGCTTCAGCATCTTCAGGTAAGAGGACAGAGGACAAAGCAACAGCTGCAACCGAAGTCTGGCTGCATTTTAGTCATACCCTTTAGATTAACGGTGTGTGAGAACTTCCAATAATTACTACTGGTCATGGAATGAAAAAGAAGGGGAAATAAAGAATATACTGCTCACTAAGTAAAGAGAAGTAAATCTTTTCCCGACTTTGTAATCACCCCGAAGCCCAGCATCATCCCTTGTATATAGCAGCACAGACAGAGAATGTATTCCCCATGGTGGGAAAAGTCTGGATTATGGAAGGAACAGGCGATATATTCACAATGGACTAGAAGCTCCATGCAGATGGGAACTTCCTTTACCATATTAGTGGTCGCATTTTCAGCACCTACAGCGTGCCTGGCAAATAGTAGGTAGTCAAATATTTGCTGAGGAAACATGCTCTTTCAGCTTTGGAGGAATACTGGCTTATGCTAAAGATGTGAATTATAATTTTAAAAGTATATGGGAAGGTGGAGACTAATTTCACAGCATCTAAATATAAATAAATAGACAAGTTCTATACATTGGAGGAATTCTGAATGTTAGAGGAGGGAAATTAAATATATAGGAAAGTTATTTTCATTGCTTTGATATTTTCTTCAATATACATTAACTACTTAGATAAACCAATGACTTGTGTAATACTGTTCTCCCACATACCATCTTTCACCAAGCCCTGTAAGAAACCATGGGAGTGGACAGCATATTTAATTGAGGTACATTCTATTCAATAGTTTTCTGCAGAAATGCTGAATTTTTCTAGCTAGATATATAGTTCTTTGTGGCTTTTGTATGTATTTTAAAAACATACCATGTTATCATGAAAAGTATCATGAAATTCGTATAAACAGAAATCTGACCTTGTCAAATGCTTGCTTGATGCATGTACCTCCATTTCATTACTTTTGTATTCATTTAATTCTTTACGAATTGCTGCCTGAAATTAAAAAACAGGACAATTGATTTTCAGGACATCAAAAAGTAAACAGAGGAAATTAGTATCATGTTCATGGATTAACAACCACTCCTAATACTTGCTGACTCTATTACTTTGTAATACATAGCAAAAAAAAGAAACAATATTTTGTTCAGCATTTAGACTATCTTACTCATTTTTTTTAAATTTCAGAATATTACCAGGGAACAAACATTTTGGTTACAAATAATGCCTTTGCCTTGCCCAAGCCAGGGCTACAAGCGTGCCCTTCCCCCATACAGTGTGCTCCACATCCATTAGTTGTGAGTTTACCACCTCCACCACCCTCCTCCCACCTGACTGTCATCCAGCAAATATTACTACCATGTGAGCACCTTAGTGTTGATAAGTTAGTACCAATTTGATGGCAAGTACACGTGGTGCTTGTTTTTCCGTTCTTGTGATACCTCACTTTGAAAGATGGGCTCCATCTTTATCCAGGATAATACAAGAGGTGCTAGTTCACCATTGGTTTTTGTAATTGAGTAGTATTCCATGGTGTACATATTCCATATTTTATTACTCTACTCATGTATTGATGGTCACTGGGTTGTTTCCACATCTTTGCAATTGTGAGTTGTGCTGCCATAAACTTTGGAGTACAGATGTCTTTATTACAGAATGTCTTTTTTTCCTTTGGATAGATGCCTAGTGGATTGCTGGATCAAACGGTAATTCTGTTTTTAGCTCTTTGAGATATCTCCAAATTACTTTCCACAGGGGTTGTACTAATCTGCAGTCCCACCAGCAGTGTAAGAGTGTTCCAATCTCTCCACATCTACACCAGCATTTGTTGTTTTGGGACTTTTTGATAGAGGCCATTTTCACTGGAGTTAGGTGATTTCTCATTTGGTTTTGATCTGCATTTCCCTGATGATTAGTGATATTGAGCATTTTTTCATGTATCTGTTAGCCATTTGTATGTTGTCTTTTCAGAAATGTCTACTCATGTCCTTTGCCCACTGTTTAATAGGATTGTGTATGGTTTTTTCTTAACTGCTGTTTGGGTTCCTTATATATTTTGGATATTAGTTCCTTGTCAGTTGAATAGTTTAAAAATATTTTCTCTCATTCAAGAGATTGTTAATTGTTTCCTTTGCTGCACAGAAGCTTTTTAGTTTAATATAGTCCCATTTGTCTATTTTTGGGGGTTTTTGCCTGTGCTTTTGAGGTCTTAGCCATAAAATCTTTGCCTAGACCAATGTCCTAAAGTGATTGCCCTGTGTTTTCTTCTAGTATTTTTGTAGTTTCTGGTATTCTATTTAAGTCTTTAATCCACCAAGAGTTGAATCTTGTATTTGGTGAGTGACAGCAGTTCAGTTTCATTCTTTTGCATATGGATATCCATTTTTCCCAGCACTATTTATTGAAGAGAGTGTCCTTTCCTCAGTCTATGTTCTTGGTACCTTTGTCAAAAGTCAGTTGACTCTAAACACATGGATTTATTCCTAGGTTTTCTATTCTGTTCCATCAGTCTATGTGTCTGTTATACTAATACCATGCTATTTTGGTTACTATAGTCTTATATTTTGAAGTCTGGTAATGTGATGTGTCCAACTTTGTTCTTTTTGCTCAGGATTGCTTTGGCTGTTTGGGCTGTTCTTTGATTTCACAGAAAATTTAGGGATTTTTTTTCCATTTCTGCAAAAAATGACATTGGTATTTTGATAGGGATTGTATTGAATCTATAGATTGTTTTGGGCAGTATGGTCATCTTAATGATATTACTTATGATCCACGAGCATGGATGTCTTTCATTTTTGTTTGTGTCTTCTTTAATTTCTTTCATCAGTGTTTTGTAGTGTCCCTTGTAGAGGTCTTTCACCTCTCTTTGGTTAAATTTATTCCTAGGCGTTTTATTATTTTTTTGTAACTATTGTGACTGGTGTGTAGGAACACTAATGATTTTTTATGTTGCAACTTTACTGAATTTATTAGATCTAAGAGTGTTTCGGTGGAGCCTTTAGGTTTATCTAGGTATAAGATCATGTCGTCTGTAAAGAGGGACAATTTTATTTCTTCCTTTCTAATTTGAATGCCTGTTATTTCTTTCTCTTGCCTGATTGCTCTGGCCAGGACTAGTATTCAGGAAGTCCTTAGTAAATTAATTTGCTGTGCTGCAGTAGGAAGACAACTCCTCCTTCCCCCTGTGCCTACCTAATAGAAGGACCAAGCACATGCTTAGGGAACTAATGAAGTAGGAAAACCAAAATAATGAGTAAGGTCAGCTTTTGATAAACTTTGGTTTTTGCAGTCAGATAGTCTAGAAAGAAGTCATTCTAACTTCAGCATACATTTATGTTTTCTGCCATTTGAAAAACTACATTTTAATCATGACGTAGGGGTGGGCTGTGCATCATAGTCTTTTCAGTGCTCTTTAGGGCCTCTCATCTGGCCACCTTCATCTTCCCAAGGCCACTTTCATCATGTACTTCTCTCTCAGATAAACCCACCAGGGGCCAAGTGAGACTAGAACATCAGACATAAAAAGGCTTTAAGATTGTCAAGGGTATATTATTCCCATACTCAAACACATCTGCAGACTGCCAGAGATACTTTCCTTCTCCCCTTATCACTGTGATCCTCTGAGCACATCAACTACAAATAACCAAGAGCAGCCAACTCCAACAGTCATTCCTCCGAGTTGATGCAATAGCCATGTCCATTTGTAAGCTCCTGTATTCACACTTGGCACATAAAGATGAAGAAAAATTAGCAACTTCTTTGGCTGAATGTATAATGTCTCTCTTTCTAATGGCTTTACGTATTCTGAAAATCACTCGGGCCAAAAGAGTATGAAAGAAAGACTATAGACATTCCAGCCTTAAATCCTGCTGGTCAATAGCATTTGACCATGGACAAGAACTTGCCCTCTCTGTGCTCTGTAAATGTCCATTGACTCTACTTCACCCCAGAGCCTCTGTGCCCCACCACCTCCTTGCTTTCTTCCTAACCATTCAGACACCTCAGGAGGTTCCTTGAGACACTGCAGACTGGACAAGTCCAGGACAGAATCCAGAACCTCCTCTATATTTGCTGTAGAGGCTCTCCCGAATGCCTCTTGACTTGATTCCATTCCTCTCTGTTCCCACCGTAGCTCTTTTTGTTTAAATTTGTCAGCTGATCTCTTTCACACCAGCCTTGCCAACTTTTGATTCATCCCATAGATAACAGTTTCTCAATTTCCACAATCTTGACATTTGGGACTGGATAATTCTCTGTCGTATGGGCTTTTCTGTGTCTTATGAGATGTTTAGTGGCATCCTCTACCCACTAGATAACAATAGCACCCCAGTTGGACAACCAAGAATGTTTCCAGATATTGCCAAGTGTCCCTAGGGGCACAACTGTCCCCTAATTGAGAACCACTGCTCAACTCTGACCCTGAATTATCTTTGTGAAACCAGTATCCAGTGAAGACATAGTCTCAATTTAAATAGCTGATGGTTCCCATTGTCTAAGAATAAGCTCCCCAGCATGGCATGTTTTGCCCTTCTTGCAAGGTACAACACCCCCAACCAGTACAGACCGTTCTGTACCTTATCTGCGGCTGACAGTCTTGTCCAGGGTTTGTCTGCCCTCCTGTCGTAGTCCTGCGCTTTTGCTACTTCCACATAATCGCTGAATCGGATCAGAATTTTTCTGTCTCTTAATTCATCAACGGTGGGCCTCTGATTTAGCTAAAATAAAAAATCATCATGGTTATGTATCACATGCCAAACTAGCTTTCTTGAAGTACTCTGAACAAACAGCACATTTCTGTAAAGAAAAATAAAACTCTGAAACTGAAATATAACCTGAATACAAACAATCTCCGCTGTGAAGGGCTGAAATTACATACTGTACTCTTAAGTCACAATCCCCCTTCCTCCAACACGTTTCAGCAGAAGGATTCACACCCCCAATACTACACAGCACAGGCTCAAGGAATGGTAGATGAATTAACTTAGAATAAATTTTATGGCATCAGTAGCTTCTTTTTAAGTATGATTAGATAAGTTTTTAAAAGTACTGATAAAGTTATAATGCTAACTACTACAACGCATATGTCAAGCTCAGGAAGGATATTGTTAACTTCAAGTAGAACAGAATTTCATTATTATGGAGCACAGTGGAGGGGAGGAAACAGAAGAACACTCGAATTTAGAAATGGACAGGGTTTTAAAAGTAGATTAAAGTTTACAGAGTTGCTACCTGTATTGGCACCACGGTAAATTGTAACGATTTGAGTCACGGATACAAACCTTTGATGCTAATAAAGTTTTCTACACTCAGGGAGCTTCTAGACTTATTGAAGGTGACCAAATGTGATGAGCCTAATAAGTAACTAAAACATTATGCCCAGGTATGCTTTTCTTAGATACTGTGCAAAGTAAGAAAATGCCCATTCAACTTCTGGCTTCCACCTGGAAATAAGTAGAAACGTCACTTGGAGTGTACTGACCCTATAAGCTCTGCGGTGCTGTGGAAGGATCTAATCCCTAGGGAATGTCAGAGTCACACACTGGGATGTAGCAACAGACACTGCATTTTGAGTTAATTCATTGTTGCTGAACCAATATTCTGATTTACTGATGCCATACTGTCCAGAAAAACATCAGTCACTATCACAGAGTGACGTCCTGCATTACCCATCCCAACAGCAGCTCTTCTCTAGGTCCACCTTTACTAATCAGGAAATAGCATGCGCATAGTACCTTTCTTGTCAATCTCTGCTTGATTTCTCTTCTTTCTTCCTGCTCCGTCTGATCATTCCTTTCTGTGAAAGAGTAACACAGAAAAAAAAAAAAACAGGTTGAGACCTCTCTTTACAGGGAAGTATATGTGAGATCTTCATGTTTCTGGCAGCTGAAAGTGGAATATTAAGGACATTTTTCTCCAATCACCATTTCTGTGTTTTTTTTTTTCTTTCCACTTTGCTAATTGTGCTCAGGAGATAATGGTTTCATTGTTCCAGAGAAGCACTTGTGCCAGGTGAAGCTTTGCCATCACCCCAGCCCGGTCCCCTGGGCCTTTCTCTACGTCAGAGACAACCGCAGATATCGCTGCTGTTTATTTCCAGGAACTAGATATTTCTGTGTGTCTGTCTGCCTCTCTCACTGATTTTCTCTACGCTGCTCAAATATCTTTACCTGTATATTTACATGTAGTACATAGATGGCACATAAAAATAGCTGTAACAGACTAAGTAAATAAATGTATGTATACATCTTAATATAAATAGCACTGCTACTGCTTGTGTTTTTGGTTTTTCCATTTAACAGGTGTGCATACCTTTTAGCTAACCAACATAAGAAATGGAAAACCTTTTTCAGGTTCCGGGCAACACATGCTTGCCTAGGATTTATATTTTCAGGGTATATTTCAAATCTGAACATATCTGTGAATCCAGCTGATTCTCCATTGCTGGAGTGTGAACTTTTATATGACAGTGCCTTTAAAGGAGCCCAAGTCGCTCACTGAAACGGGCTTTGCTTAGCGAGTTGTGACTATTAACATTCAAGCTGTGCTCACACCTACACTTTGAAGCTAAAAATAGAACAGAGTGCTGAGATATAGTAAAAATGTAAGTAAATGTATAGTCAGCCTTGCCCTGGGATACAAGATAGTGGCTGTCCTATTTCTGGTGCTCTCCATTGTTAAATAAAGCCTCAGGTCCCCAACCTGAACAGAGCTCCACTGCTAGGAAAGAGATCTGAACAATCAGCACTACTAGAAACACCACCAGGTTTTGGGAAGGGAAATTCTGCTACTTGCAGTTAAAGGCAGATAATGTGAAATTATGTTATTTAAAAGATGCATTTCCAACATTTGTGCATTTGAGGGAATGCGTATATCAGTGTTTAATAGCCACTGCACTTTTCGGTAGTTTTTTTTTTTTTAAAGGAGTCATCTTGGATTAGGGTGTTGCAGAAAAGGAAATGAAACCCTGTTATGTGCTTCATTCTTTATCCAAGTGATAAATCAGAAGAAGCCATACTTTTAAGCTATAATCAGAACGTCGATGATACAATTAGAAAAAAAAAATTGTAAAAGTATCATATATAAGGCCAGCCGTGAGGGATTTAAGTGATAAAATTCTTCAGATTTCTTAAAATAGGCCAGGAACAAATCCCAAGTGGAGCCTCCATGTGAAAAGACTAAAGCAAAATCAGATCTTTGTGTTTTAATTGTGAAAAGCACCATCATTGCTACCGAGGTCATGTAAGCACAGCAGGGTCTTTGGAAAGAGGATCTTTGAAAGTGCCTGTCAGAGTGCTTCTCTGTGCGGGGTGCCCTACAGCACACCTCCTCCAAGAAGTCCATCTTGACAGCCTAAGCCTGTAAGCCTCAATCGTCTGAGCTCCCCCAGTGATGTGTTTATGGATCTCTCATTTCCAGACCCAGAAAACTCTGTGCCTTACACAAAACAAGGGATCCATAATCAGGACCTTTACACCAATATTTTCTAGAAATAGCTCCAGCAGCTTGGACAGTTACACATGAGTCTTCCATGAATATTCAGAAATGTATTATTGCTTTTAATGCAATGGTCGAACATGGGCAGTGGAGTTAGGCAAACCTGGGGTCAAACTCTAGCTCTATCCTCTTGCCAATGTTCATTTGTTAAAGTCATATTACATTTCTGAGGCTTAGCTTCTTCACTAGTGAAATGGGGAGAGCAGTACAAACCTCACACATGTATCACGATAATTAAATGAAGGAATATACACCAGACACTGACTGTAATGTATGGCACAGACTTGGCCAATTACCATCATCATCATATAGAAAGGGGCTACCATGTCTTTTGCTCTGATATTCACGTATACTCAGGCAGAGCTCTGAGTGCTCCTCAGATATTCCTGCAATTGGTCCTGAGCTCATCACTTGAAGGGAAGCAAACACCAAGCGATGATATACCAAGAACTGCCCACAAGCAGGGAATGCAATACAGCACGGGTGAAGTGCTGTGTGTCTAGGGCCTATGACTATGATGCTCTATCCTGAGCTAAGGTCACCCTATTGTCATCCCCACAGAACAAAGGAAAACACACCAAACACCCACCCCACAAACTTAGTAGTGACATTCTCAGGTCCTCCCACTCAAGACATTGAGGAAGGCTTCAAAGCTAAGGACAAACCTGTGCACCGTTCCCTGGTGACTGCAGTGTTTGTGGCGGGATTGCCACGGCCACCGCAGAGGAAATCCATTTTCCCTTTTGCGCACTGAAGGTAAGTGCAATAAGTTCCTGCTACCCACTTACTAGCTCTCTAGCCACCAAAGACAGTTCTATTTTTAAGGCTTTTACATTTATTTGCAAAGAAAAACACAGTTAGAAGCACTTGCCGATAGAAGGACTTGGCTGCCCACGACAGGAGGGCAGAGGCTACTACTGAAAGCAGGGTGGCTCCGGGACTGTGGTCCCCCTCCCTGCCGCAGACAGCACGCTCGCACGTGGCACTTCCCAAGGCTTGAACTTGCCTGGCTCATGTCTGGACTGCTACTTTTAGTGGCATCTATGAATTGTAAGCTTTATAAAGGACTTAATTTTTAAAAAAATTCAAATATTTGGTAACTGAAACAGCTTGGCTTTTCTGTCTGCCTACTTCATTAAGCATGTTATTGATGAAAAGCCTGTCTTCAAACCCCCCTTTATGTTAGCATGGCCTAGTCAACATAATATAGACTAGTAGTCAACGTGCCTTAAGTTGAAAAAACAAAATGAAGAATTTTTAATCTAAGGGTTAAATATTTTCAACAATCTATAAAGGAGGGGATTGTTGTAGGCAGCTAATGAAGGCACAGAGGCAAAGGGGGGAGAGAGGAATCAGTCGGAGCCCAGGACCCCGGCCGACAGGGGCTCCATGGTCTGATTTCTGACTCGGAACTGCTCTAACTCAGCAAAAACGTGTTCACAGGTAAACCAAACTCAAAGAATGTCCACAGTGTTCATCACATAAAGGGGCGGGGAGAACATACTTTAAAATCCAGATAGTTAGAAGATAGTTTAGGTTAAAAAAAAAAATTAAAAACTAAAACTGACAAGATAACTGAGAAACACTTTTGAAGTGACTTCAATGAAATGGAATATTATTCTCTACACCAAGGAAATTATTCATGAACACCGGCATCCAGCATATACTACAACTGTACAGCCAACTGGGGGAACTCAAGGGGCTGCCAGGCCTAGAGGGACAGTAGGTCCTGGAATCTCCAAGTTCTGAGCCGCAGTCAAGTTTCCTGTGGCTCCCCTGTTACTGTGAACTGACTGCTCACCCCTCCTAAGTGTAACCGTCAAGGGGCATGTCCTGCTCTGGCAGGATTTATGACACCACCATCCACACCTTACCATGACCCCTGTGGTCATTAGGAGCCCCCTCCAAAACCGCCAGGAAAATCTGCTTGAAACCCAGCATGCAAAATAGTAATGATTCATTTCCCTTCGATCTACAGGACTGACCAAAAGACCCGACGATAGGAGCATCTTTATGCTAGGAGGAGAGCTTTAATTTTGAATTTTAAAGAGATGTATGCACTTTCCTTTAGGGGCTTGCTTTCGGAATTCCTCAGCTGCTCAGATTTAGGGGGAGCAGGGAGCATTTAGTCTGCAAAGATGAACTGGCTTATAAGAACTCAGACTCATGCAACAGCCTCAGCACACGTGCCGGGAAAACCTCTTGAGGAATCGCCAGCTACTTACGTTTCAAGATATTTCTTCTCTCCAGCTCCTCCACAGCTGGTCTTTGGCTCAGCCGTCTGCGGAAAAACACTAGAATTACATTTTGCACCATGGTGGCTGCCTGCAAGTTCCACCCAGGGACTGCAAGGGTGAGAGGTGGCTGGCACGCTCCCTAAAAATCGCCTCCCAAAAAATGGGAGGAGAGAGAGTGAACCTTTGCTGGCTGCCTCTTGCCGGCAAGATCCAGTCGGACTCCCAGGTGGGCGTGGCCGCCACCCTGTCACAGAGCTAGCACTAGTGTGGTCCTCGCTCCAGTTCCACAAGTGCAAGTCTTCATTTTTCCGATCTGTCGCCCACACCTTGCCTGGTCTGGACTGTGCACCCGGGCAGCCTATTTAAGCAGTGCGGAGATCCATTTGGGAAATTCTTTTTCCTGCCCACCGGCTTAGGGAGAGCTGCACCGCCTGTCTTCAGGCTTCTGGTCCAGGAGGTCCGTGCCTCCCAGCGCTTGCTCCCGTGGCCACACAGGAGACCCCCGCCCTGGGAGCACAGCTGTCCCTCAGGCTCTGCCTGCTGAACGGAGTGTCCTCGCCAGCCCGCTGGGAGGCGTGTCTAAGGACGTGGGACTGAGGAGTTCCCGCCTCTCGTCAGTGAGCGCAGCTCCGCTCAAGCTCTGAATAAAAACGGAGTCTCCTCCAGCCAGTGCCGCTGCGGGAGCGCAGCCCACCCGCCCTCGCGCACACTCCCGCCCGCCGCCAGCCCAGACCCAGCGCGCGAAACGAAGACAAATTATTATTTCTTTTTCAAATTGTCTCTCATCGAGGGAATTGGAGGACACAGCCAGAAAATAAAAATAAAAAATAAAACCACCACCACCAAAAATCATAAAAGCCTTGTAAGGAGAGGGAGGCATAATTAGCCAAAATTAACGCTAAGCTCCAATTACTTTTGTAACTAAAATAATGTTGTCCCTGGGTCAGAGCCAGAAGCCTTCCCACTTCCGGATTCTGTAGCCACCACAGGGCATTCAAACGGGGCCTGGTGTTTGGATGCCCAGAGTTGGGGGCACAGCACTCTGCTCCCGCGAGGATGCTGTCTCTGGATGTCTTTGTCTCCATTTATGATCCTGTCCCAGCACAAAGCCCAGGGCGGACCCTGCTCCGCTCTCCTCCTCCACAGCCAAACAGGCAGCCACTGCCGGCTCCCCGAGCTTTGTCTTCTGGCACCGCGCGTTGGCGGTTGTTTCCACATCTTGTCTCCAAGTCTGGGGAGACTTGACCCTACCCCCTGACAGCTCCCAGCTGGAATCCAGGGGTGATGCCCCCCGAGTCTGCCTAAGCCATGTGTGCAAAGCCTAGCTCACTAAACGTTGCCCCTGCAGCCTGGTCAGAACACTCCACTGCCACTTCTCCCATCACCTGGTAAATGACTATGGGACATTTGCTATGCACCAGGCACTGCCCCAAACCCCCAGGACACAGTACTGAACAAGGTAAGGCTTCCCTGCCCTTGGGAAGCTCACAGTCTAGAGGAAAGGCAGATGAACAAACAAACCATTTCAGAGAGTGGCCAACGCCTTGGAGGAAATGGAACCGGGGTCCAGATGGATGAGTGACCAGGCAGGGACAGACACACTCAGAACCTGCGACGGATGCATTTCTGCTGAGACCTGAATGGAGAAAAGGAGCCTGCCGTGGGAAGCTCACACCTCTCCAGCACGGTTTCTCTTAACTGCTCACACACTGGGCTTGAATATGGAGGGAGGGGTAACCAAGGAAGGCATCATGGAAGAGGAAACTTTGACGGAACTGTCCAGAATCCACATGGGGGAACGGTGTGTGCAACGGCCTTGGAGAAGGAACCAGGTGAAAGAAGAAAATTGTGAGGAAATCGGAGTTGTCAGGTGAGTAGAGGGGATGCGGGGACGGAGGCAGGAGCAACAGGAACAGCGCTGGGACGATGCGCGGGAGTTAAACCCTGCAGGGCCGTGGAAGACGCGCTGCCTGACTGGACCCCATCCTGCTCCACTCTGCGCTGCGGTGCTGGGGAGCCAGGGGAGGTTCCTGAGCAGGGGACGACGTGGTCAGCTCTGCTGTGTCTGAGCAGCTGCACTTTCCGGGCCCTTCCTCAGGAAGGCGAGGCTCCCCCCCGGCCTGCTCGTAGAACAGTGGCCCAAGGACCGTCCAGGGTTCGGAGGGTCCTGGCCCAGGACGGTGGTGGGGCCGCAGCAGGGGACGGGCTTTGGGAGTAGCAGGACGAAAGTCTGAGACTCAAGTTTGAGACGTGTCACTTCCTCGCTGTGTGTCCCTGGGCAGGTTAGCTTCTCTGAGCCTCGTCCTCTCACCTGAGGTGAAGACTGAACGACAGAGCTTCACGGAGTTGCGGGCATTGAACGAGACGACGCACAGAGGAGTTTTACAACCACGTTTGCTTGGAAGGTAAAATTTCTCAAGAAATCATCATTATCGGTTGAAGGATGGCTGTAAGTAAAGGGCATTCGGTCTGTATTTTCAAAACCTTTCTAGATGTCGTGTTTCATGCCTTCAATTCACACTTCTCTGTTCTTCAGAGAAACGACCCCAGTTGGGCTTTCTTCTCTGCGTGGCCCCACTGCTCCTTCCCACCTGAGTGTCCTCACTCTGCCTTCCGCCGTCCCACATGCCACATCCCACCTCCACGTCCAGAGCCACAGAGACCACAGGAGGCTCGGCACAGCAGCCGGGATCTGGGACCTGCGCCTGTCAGACCTCGCCTCTCCCTCGGGTCCCTCTGCCGTCCCTGCGGCACGGAGGCCCGGCCACCCAGGCACCCGACCGCAATGCAGCCACCCACAGGGCTTTTCTAGGACTCCACAGCAGTGGGTGTCAGCCAAGTTCACGTCCCAGCTCCAGCACTGACCACCCTCGTGGCTTTGGGTGAGCCACGGACCCTTCTCTATCAAGCCCACGACATTAGTTTCCTCCCAGGGGTGCTGTGCGCATGAAATGAGATCATTCCTGAAAACAAATTCCGCTCCGGGCCAGATCCATCACGACTGCACAGCAAGTCTGCCTTTGTCGTGATCATTACTGCGTTATCCTGATTGCCATCATTAGGTTCTCAACAAATGACGTCTGTGGAATTGTACAGAGGCATTTAAAACACACCAACATCCTCCCCTTTGCAGGTTCAAAAAACTGGGAGGGTGGATTAACGCCGGTGTTGGGAGACCTGAGTTTGAGCCCCGAGGGGTCTCCCCTTCAGAGCGGGCCCCTGGGGACTAGCTTGCTCCTCTGTGTGTCTGAGCCTCTGTGACACAGGAAGAGCGAGAGAGCCGCCACCCGCAGGGTCTGAATGATGACAGGCTGTCACGGAGAAGCAGTGACACACACAACCCCACGGCCCCCAATCCTGGCCATGGAAGGGCTCAGAGGACAGGATGGGGAAGGGGGAGGGGGAGGCACGGGCACTTTTAGGGCAACAGAAATGGACACCCTCGGGCCTAGTGTGGGCCCGTGACCCTCTACCCGTGACGTGGCACTTCCTCTGTACGGCTCCTCTGGCCGAGGGTGGTTCGTGGGAAGTACACAGAGGCCACCAGGACTCCCCGGGTAAGAGCTGAGGGAGGTAGGAGGAGGGTGGGTGGGGCTGTCCTGGGGACGCTCTCACCTCCTTGTTCCTGCCTCTGCCCCCTTGGCCTGAGAACCAATCCTTCCTCCTCTGCCCCGACCAGCGGCTTAGGGTCTCGGGCTGCACCACACTCTATGCAGATTAAACTAAACCAAACCCTTCACTCCGCACACCCCGCCTCTCATAATTCTCCCCTCACCTGCATCACTCACGCGCTGACTTCCTGCCCAGCCCTGGGCTCTGCCGGGTCCACCCTCAGTGTCCATCAGACACACGCACTCAGGCACAGGCAGAGCTCGGCCCAGGGGCCACGTGGTAGGCTCCTGGTGACGGCCAGCGGGCCACTGGGGGCACCCAGAGGGGCAGCTGAAAAGGACCGCAAACCTCCCTTTGGAGGCCACATCTGTCGGCATGGCCCCAGCAAGGCTGAGTGTTTTTGCTGGGCCCTGTCTTTCTCGTCTAATTGAGAACTAACATAGACCCTCGCAGAGTTGCGAGAATCGAATGAGACAATAACCAGAAGTGTTTGTGACAATGCTTGCTTGGGATACAGTTAATTTCTCAGGAAAACCCAACCCGTGAGTTGTCAGCTGGTCACAGACCACGTTCCCAAAGAGGCATTTCATCCAACTCAGACTTTTTAGGAACGCACGGACTGGCGGCCCTTCCACTCCCTGCAGGTGAGTCTGGCTGCAGGCTTCTCCTCCAATGTCACCATGTGGTAAGGCCATGGCTGGTCCCCAGGCACCTCTGCCCCCTAGGTTCGAGGCTGTGAGCAGAGCAAAAGCGTACCCAGGCCAGTAGGGTCCTGAGCCCCAGACGGCACTGTGGGCTCCCAGCCCCTCCCTGAGTGGCTCTGACCAGCAGAGGGGGTTGACTGAGCAAGACGACATCCGATCACCAGGAAGGAGGCCGAGCAGGCTCTAGGGTGGCCCCACAAATCCAGCAAGGCCAGGCCAGAGTTCCAATCCAGACCATCTCCTGTCCAGGTAGGTGGGCTGACCTGGACAGGGACAGCCCTTTGAGAAGACCTTGAGTGGAGACCTGGAGGATGAGTGGGGGCCACCAAGGCAGAGGGAGGCATGTGCAAAGGTCCCGAGGTAGGACAGGATACTCCAGTGACGACACTCAGATTGCACAGAGGGGCCAGTATGCGGAGGTTGGAGAGCTGAGCAGGGGAGGGACCCACGCAGCCTGGCATCCCTGCTGAGGGGTCTGGATTTATCCCTGGAGACCCAGGAGGGCACTGAAGGGTTTGAAGGCGACGGGGGCGAGACGGGGCGCAAGTGTGCCAGGATGGATTTACATGCGGAAACACTCTCTGGACTCTTCTGGAGCACTGTCCAGGCAAGGACAGAGACAAGCCCTAGGCTACTAGGAGACACAGACTGTGTCGGATCCCTGCTCGGCTCCCTAACTGCTGGCCTGTGAGTGGCTGTAGGGCCATGAAATGTTCCAGACTTGGGGAAGATACTGGCTCTACAACAAAGACACTGCAAATTCTAAACGACTACCTATTACCCTAAATAGTACATAAATAAAAGATCCTATTTTGTCCACCTGCTACCTGAAGCTCAGCCCAACCCTTCATGCAGAGCAGGAGCTTCCAAAGGGCAGAGCACGGCGATTTTGATGTCAGGGGCAGACAATTACTACGCCCGTTTCACAGATGAGGCCCTCCAGGCTGGGAGGCGAAAGTGACCAGGAGCTACCGGGGCTGGAATCAGCCCCCACAGCTGGTTCCAGAGGCAGCGGGGACTGAGGAACGCCAGCTGGCGTGGACTGGGGCGAGGCCAGGAAGCATCCTCCCGCCCGGAGAGCGAGGCCCCAGGCAGGGGCACGAGTCGTGAGCTGCTGCC